AAGAAGAAGAAGAAGAAGAAGAAGAAGAAGAAGAAGAAGAAGAAGAAGAAGAAGAAGAAGAAGAAGAAGAAGAAGAAGAAGAAGAAGAAGAAGAAACGCGCCTATCCCCACACCCTCTCCCACCACCTCCCCTTCCTCCCCCCACCATCCTCACCCTCACACTCAACCACCAACTCCAACGCCTCGACCTCCTCCAGCCCACTCCTCAAATCCACCTCGTGGACACTCAACCACCAGCCCTCGCCCCACCTCCACGCCCCCAACCCCCATCTCACCGCATACACCCCCAAAAACACAAACGCCCCGATATAACTCGTCAAAAACCCACTCACACTCCAATTCCCCGCCACAAAATACTGAAACCCCTGCCCCAGCAGAATCGCCGGACACACCACCATAGCAGCCCAGGCCCCATACGGCTGCCAGCACGAGCGATACGGCACGGCAACACGCTGCACGGCACACGCCCGACGAAACCGGAGGTAGACGACCGCGCAGGCCGTCCAGCTGATCATGCCGGCGGAGTTAGTCAGGCTGACGAACCAGGTGAACACGGTGCTGGCGCCGGCGCTGCAGTCCATGTAGGCGAGGGCGCCGAAGCTGGCGCTGGCCAGGACGGCGTAGTAGGGCACGCCGTGGCGGGTGCACCTTTTGAAGAGTGGCGGGGCGGCGCCGGCCGCGGCGAGGGAGTAGAGCGTGCGGCTGGACATGTACAGGTACGAGTTCGCGGCGGACCAGGCCGACGTGATGATCACGGCGTTGACGACGCTGTCCAGGCCGGAGATCCCCGCGTGCTTGATGGCGATCACCCACGGCGAGGCGTTGACGCCCGTCCCCGTGGTCAGGCCGGACGCGTTGCTGGGGCAGATCACCCCGATGGCCAGCACGCCGAGCACGTAGAAGACCAGTAACCGGTAGAAGAATTGGCGCGCCGCGCGGGGCAGGTTCGTGCGTGGGTTCTGCATTTCGCCGGCGGCGACCACCAACAGCTCGGGGCCGAAGGTGAAGGAGAAGACCGAGTAGCAGAGCGTGTAGACGAAGGCGCAGAAGCGGCCGGTTGCGCCAGATACTAAATACGTGTTGGTGGCCCCCGGGTGGTTCCAGTAGTGGAAGCCCAGTCGGGTGTGGCTGGGTCCGCCGCCCCAGAAGAGGATGAAGCTCAGGATCAACAGGCCGAGGATCAGGAAGACTTTCAGCGAGGCGAACCAGAATTCCGTCTCGCCGTAGATGCGCACGGGGCTGAAGTTCAATGCGAATACGACGAGGAGCATGAGGGTTATCCAGACGGCGAGTGGGACGGGGTTGCTCCAGTAGTTGATGACCAGAGCGGCGGCGGTGGTTTCGTACGCCACTAGGATGCCGAAGCTGTACCAGTATAGCAGCCCCAAAGAGAGGCCGAGGGATGGGGAGACGAAGCGCGTGGCGTAGGCGGCCATCGAGCAGCCGTGGACGGGCAGGTAGGTGTTCATCTCGGTGGTGGCGGTGATGACGGCGTAGACGAGGAGGCAGATTAGGGCGTACGAGAGGAGGAGGAAGGCGGGGCCCGCGATGGAAAGCGCAGACCCGACCCCGACGAAGAGTCCGGTGCCGATCGTGCCCCCGATGGCCAGCATCTGCGCGTGGCGCGACTTGATGCCCCGTTGCGTGTGGGGGAGGCGGTGCATATCGCCCTCCCCATAGTCGATGGTGGGGTCGGGGGACTCGTGGTCGTGGGCCTCGAGGGCCTTATCGGCGGAGGTGGCTTTGGCTGTCATATTGCTGGTTCGCCCGGTGTTAATACGGGCGGAGGAGAAAAGGGGGCAACACGTACCGGCACTGGAGTGCCAGTCTGGGGTTGACTATATATGCGTCCCCGGGCTGCAGCGATTGACTAGCGGCAGAGATAGGGTTAGCATCTCCGCTGAGATAGCTCGCCCTCGCTGACTGGTTGGCTGCTCTATCGGTGGCGTTGCCTCGATAGCCACTTATCTGGGAGCAGTTTGATATCGATAACCGGATAGGCAGGTCTCTCCACCGAGTTGCCGTTTTGGGGAGCTGGCGAGATGCATGACATCTGTACTAAGCATATAAATGCATGCGTCTGCGACATGGACAACAACGGATGATCTGTCTCGACTATACAAGCCGTGAGAATATACCGCAGAACGAGATCACGATGCCGATCAGCTCCACGACAATTGAGCATGACTGAAAAATAAGACCTCATCCATAAAACAGCGTTGGAGCCGATGACACGGTGCCAGTCTCCTGGCTTCTTCCCATGGGCTGACTTACCCCCCCCCCCCCCACCCCAAAGCGGCGCTGGCCCCCACATAACCTTCAATTGCGAGCTAAAAGTAGTCGTCTTGCCCCAGCTCATTGGAGCTTCCCTCTGAAAGAAATGAGCGGTCACACCGCACTGCGGACGTCCGAACACAACCACTGCTTCTGGCCGAGTTCGCCTCGCCGCCCTACCCCCTTGCTTGCCTCATAGCATCTAGGCCCCCATCCTCACAACACCCACCTTTCAGAATACTCTCAATCTCCACCTCCATTAGGATCTAGACCCGATAGGCTATAGCACATCCTGTGGATGCTGCAGACCTTTGGCGAGCACACCATCATCCAGCAATATAAGCCCCCCTCCTCCCCCCTGGCAATCCCTTCCACAACCAACCTTGCTTTGTCCTTTGCCACCTCCACCCGAGACGCTCAATCTTTACCTTTCTCACTACATTCCACAGAAAGGTGCAATCCGTCCACACTTTACTTGTGGAGGGGTGGAGGTAATGGATGGGTCTTGCGCCATAGAGTGGGAAATTATGAAATGTTTCCAATCATGAGGAACATTGTGTGTGGGTAAAGTGTCGTGCTTATGCAGCTTTGTAAAAGGCAATGAATCCGAGTGGTTGGTTATCGATGGTGGTTGGCAAATGATGGAGGGGTCGGCTGCTGCTGCTAACTCAACTGAGGGCAAGCATGGTTGCAGAAGAGGGGGCAGGATTTCACCCTTCGAATTAGGGGTGGATCCGTGAGTGCTCCTCTTGCTGTCTTTGCGCGATTAAAGGGTCGGGAGTAGGGGTGATGCTACATTAGGCTGCCAGCCATCACCATACCGACAGTTTCCACCAGAGGGTGATAGGTGGGTAGTAGGGAGAAGGTACATGCAGTGAGCTGACCACGAGAAACATCAAACCCACAAGCGGCAGCTACCCCCAGACAAGAACATCTATATGTAATATAGACTGATCCCCTCCTCGCGCAAGATCTGTGGCCAGCTGGCCGTGTTGCCCGTGTTCTGTCGCTGGCGCTCCCAAACCAGCCGGATGGCGCCCAGCGCGTGCTCAAACACCCCGACACTGCTCCGCTGGCCAGCCGACTCGAACCACCGCACGAACCAGCTCTGCAACGTGGGATCAATCGCTTCGCACGCGGCAATAAACGCTGCCCACAGGAACGGGGCCGCCACGCGCGAAGAGCCCGCTTGCTCCTCATTTCCCTGCTCGTACTCAGCAAGCGCCTCCCGCACCTGCCAGGCTTTATCTTGCAGAATCATCGGATCCACGTCGTAGATCCGGCGGTAGAAGAAGATGAGCAACGCCTTGTGCAACACGCTGCTGAGCTGGTAGCTGCGGCGGCTGTTGCCGCTTTCAATCGCGTCCGACGTGCCATTGACATCGACGGCGAGGGGCGGCGGCCGCCATGCGGAGATGCAGCGCTCTAGACTCCGTGCCCGCGCATTGAACTGCTTGAAGTCGAGTGTGCTGCCGCTGCTGCCAGCATCAGCCAAGTCGCGCTCATTGCCCAACCGGGTCACCTGCGAGAGGAGGAAGAACGGCGGCTCCAGCAGCCCAAACACCTGCGGGTACATGGTCGAGTCCCACCGGCCGGGGATCTCCAGGTGAAGGTCATTCTCGCCCTGGTGCGGCTCTTTGAGCTCCTCCATGCGTTGGTCGAGACGGCCCTCCCATTGGCGCAGCCGGAACGACCGGCTGGATGCTATGGAGCCGACAGTAGCCTCCGGCGAGGCATGATCAATCTCTTCATCCGTCGGCACTGGGGGCAGGACTGACGTGCTTTCGTGGAAGATGCGCAGGTAGACGTAGCAGTGGTGCAGCAGGCGGACCTTGCGGGACTTGCGGGGTTTGGGCAGGCCACGGAAACGCACCCAATTCTCGCAGTCAAGCAGACAACGGCGGACACGCTCTTCGCTGCCTTGGTATGCCTGGATCAATCAGCGATGTTGGAGATGATGTAGTCAGGAATGCGTACTGAGACGGTATGAATGCACAGGAGGGCGATAAGAATGTCTTTGTACTTGACCTTCTTGACGGTCGATGACGCGTCTCGCAAGGCCCGCTTGAGGTGGGTTTGCGCCTCTGCTGCCAGGGCTTCTGCTTGCCCGCCCCAGTAGTTGGCCGAGCCGCGGGTGGCAGAGGCTCCTCGTTGGGCAAAGGCGCCCGCGGCAAGGATGGCGCTGAAGATGGTCATCTGCGTCGACGCAACGCTTTCGCCCATGGTCAGGCGGGCCAATGTCTCCATGGCGCTCGACACAAACAGGGTCTCCCAAGGATTCTTGCGCGATTGGATCAGCGAGAAAAGTGGCACTACGTCGTGCTTATAGACAGACAGAAGGAAAGGAGCGTCGGGTGGTGCGCGATTGGTGACGGTCGGCGGAGACCGCAGACTTGGTGCCGATAAAAATGGAGATGATAGCCCCAGTGACGAGGAAGTCGACGGCCCCATCAACAAGCCACTGGCGAGGGACTGGGACGGGGAGGAGAAGTCATCCCCCTCAGATAACGGCATGGCAGCACTGAAGAAGTTCTGCGTCGACAGATCCCCCAGCCCCTCGACATCTAGGTTACCAAAGAGGCAATCGAGTAAGGGGTCACTGGCAAAGGCATCCTCCAGGGCGAGGTCGAGTCCAGTCTCCGGAGGAATCTCCACCAGTGGTAACTCCGAGTCCGCTGGGAGAGTGTCTATCAGGACGGGGCTGGGGTCAGGCTCAGCTGGAACGAGACGAAAGGCACCAAACGGCCCCAACTGGGTGAAGAAGCTCTGAGTCGGAGGGGCCCCGTCCCTCTCCTCACAGTCTCCATCTAGTCGAGAGAGCACGGTGTTGACATTGTGGGGGTTGAGACTAGCCACCAGCTGCTCGCTCATCTGCTGGCGACAGTGCTCGGTGAACAGCGGCCGTCGACATCGCGAGCCGTGACTCTCCCCGGAGTCAAACAAGAGCCGAATGCCATACTGCTCACAGACGAGACCAGCTCGCTCACACATCCGACAGGATGGTCGTGTCTCGTCACATTTGGCATGCCGACGCCGGCAGGTCTCGCACCCGCCCAGCGACCGTGACCGGGCGGAGGCAGGCTTGCCGCTATGCGGGGAAGTCGTCGCGGTGATCTGTTCAGCGGCCATGGTATCAGTTGGGTTATCGATAAAGAAAGCTCAGAAACAGGCAACTGATGGCAATCAAATGGGGGAGGTGATCTCGAGAAAAGACAAAAAGAGGGGGAAGAGGCGGAGATAAGAAAGGAAAGTGAGGCCGGGATGACTTGCCGGTTTGATCCCCGAAGCGGGGAATCCATCCTGTCTGCAGCCCTAATCCGATAAGCTGGGAGATAACTTGGAACCCATTATTTATCTACATTTGTCTTCCATCTACCGGACCCAACCGACATCATCTTGCTTGACTGACCAGAACAGAACAACCAAAATGCAGAACAAAGCCAACGTCCTCCTGATCGGCTGCGGTGGCATCGGCACCATCGGGGCCCTCAACCTCGAACTGGGCGGCCAAGCCACTGTCACCGCGGTCTTGCGATCCAACTACGAACATGTCAAGGAACATGGCTTCTCCATCAAATCCATCGACCACGGCGAGGTCGAAGGCTTCAAACCGTCTCTTCGTACGGACCCTTCTTGTTCCCCCTGCTTTGAGCCTCAGCCCCTTGAATCATCTCCACTAACATCCAACACCAGTCCGCAACACCATCCCCGACCTCACCACCGAATCCCTCCCTCCCTACGACTATATCATCGTAACCACCAAGAACTACGCCGATATCCCCCCGTCCGTCGCGACTCTCATCCATCCCGCCGTCACCCCAGGCCACACCCGCATCGTATTGCTGCAAAACGGCCTCAACATCCACAAACCCCTGCAATCCGCCTTCCCCACCAACATCATCCTCAGCGGCGTGAGTTTCTGCGGCTCCCACCAAGTCGCTCCGGGGAAGATTGTGCATGAAGACGACGACGAGCTGTACATCGGAGCCTTCCGCAACCCGGTCTTCTCTCCGGAGGTCGAAGACGCCGCCGCGCAGGACTTCGTGCGCATCTACGGCGCCGGCGGCAAGTGCCAGCCCCAGTTCAACGCCGACGTGGCTTTCAGTCGGTGGCGCAAGTTGCTGTACAACGCGTGCCTGAACCCGATCTGCGCCATCACCGATCTGGATACTGGTCGGATCCAGTTGGCTGAGGGGGTGATTGAGGACCTGGTCCGCCCGGCGATGCGGGAGATCCAGGCGGCGGCCAAGGCGTGCGCGGGCGTACAGCTGCCCGACGAGACCCTGGAGTTTATGATCACCATGGATCCGATCACCATGTATAACCCCCCGAGTATGCAGGTGGACGTGCGGAGTGGGCGGTTCACGGAGTTTGAGAATCTGGTGGGCGAGGCGGTGCGTGAGGGTCGGGTCAAGGGAGTGGCCATGCCGACGTTGACGGTGCTGTATGGGATCCTGAAGGCAATTCAGTGGCGGACGAAGGAGAAGAGGGGTCTGGTGACGGTACCGGAGGCGGTGGACCACACGGTTCAGAAGTAGTTGTTTTGTTGTAACTGTGAGGAGGGCGCAGATGGTTCTGTTGGAATACAGTAGAATATATTGTTTGGTTCGTGTATGATCGACTAATATCGCATACTGCAGCAATTGGACTCTGATCTTGTATCTCACGGTCGCATTCCAGATCATCGTTTTGCAAGCTAGATTCATATTCTCTAAAGATATGTTGGGGTGCAACTAACCCGAGAAGACCCGGTCGCAGATTTCTTTTTCTTCGTTTTCAGTCCATCGCGCCATGTGCTGGGCATCGTCAGTCGTTGCTTCTGTGATCTTCGCGATAAAACGCTAGTCTGAGGCGCAAGCGGCCGGGTCAGAGGAGCAGAATGGTAGAAACAGCGCTCGAATCGACCAGCATCGAAACAACGTCCACAAATGGGACTCTGGCGGTCGCATCTTAGCTTGGCCTTTCTGCATGGTTAGCAGGATGAGAGCTGCCATTGCGACGAGAATTGCCATTTCAGGCCGCAGGCTTCAGCCATGATCGTAAATGATAACACATTGAGTCTGGTTCTAGAATGAGGTCATCGCCTTAAGAAACCGTATTGCCTATCTCGGCAATCTGGGTCAGCCGAACTCCGATCAGCTTTTGTCCTGTTTGTCAGAGGCAAGAAGATATTTTTGCTTTAAGACGAATGAGAAAGTGAGAAATTCATGTGGCTCTTAAGTGATGTTCCCCGACAAGATGGATCCTAGGCCTCTGAAACGTGCATAAGAAGTTGCCGTTCCATGGGGGTTCACCCAATATATATAGACTCTTCAGCAACATCAGGCATTCATTTCATAGTTATCATCTGAGTCAACGACTGGCATAACCATGGCAGGCCAAGATGATCTAGTAACTGAGCACATGATTTCAGACAGGACTGCGAGTATGTAAACACCACGAATTCGTGTAGATTTCTTCCTTCCTCACCAATTTCATGACGCTCTAGGCATCAGGCTTTCTTCTTTGGGCTAGTAAATTTATCAGTATTTCATCTATAATCGATACAATCCGTCTTTGCGTACAGAGTTGATCCTGAGTTTTGGCCCCCCGGGGGTTCGAAAGCGCTAGGGAAATGTTACCAGAGTGGGAAAATGGGTCGCAGATGGAAGGATCCAAAGAACATCTGCAGGCACTGCTCTTCCGACTCGGCCCCAATCCTTCAATTCCCATCGCTGCTGCCTGCATCAACGCATCTGAGCCCTGGACCCTGTCAGAACGATGCTCACCACGGGCAGCGATCGCCTTCAATACGGCCCGCTTAGCCCCCACGCGAACGTTCGTATTTACCACAACCCCTGACTCGGAACTGCTATAAGAGCCTGGGGCCTCCCAGTCTCGCCGTCATGCCGCAAGCCCTAATTTTATCACCAGATTCTCCTCGACCCGTTCACCAACCCAACCAAGCATAAACCCACCACAGAATGCACCTCCCCACCATCGCCGTAACCCTCGCCCTCCTCCTCCCCCCAGCCCTCTGCACCCCCCTCCTCGACTTCTCCGCCGCCAACGGAGACCCCCCGTCCACCCTAGGCATCCTGAACCTCGAAGAGGCGCGCGACGAGAAGATCTCCGCCAACACGAACGACCTCTACATCAAGCTGGCCACCGACCCGCACGGCGTCCCGGCCCTACACTACCACCGCAAACAGTCCTACATCCGCGCCGAGTACCACGCGCTCGCCAACACAATCGAAGAGAACAAGACCTACTACATCGGCTACAAGTTCTCACTCGGCGTGATCGAGCAGAGTCTGATGATCTTTCAATTGTAGCTCCCCTCTTATCCTCCCATGCCCCCCTCACCCCGCGAACAAAGAGAACAGTGACCGACCCGCTAACCCTCCGGCCCCGGGGCACAGCAAAGCCTACGCCGGCAACAACGCCGCCACCAACGGCGCCATCATCCCGCTCTCCCTCGAGGTCAAAAGCGGGCAGCTGCACCTGCAGTACCAGGCCGATAGTTCGAGCGGGCGGGAGCCGCAGTGGTCGCGCGCTGTCGACACGGACACGGTGTACGCGGTGGGGGTGGTGATCCACACGGGCCGGCCGGGGTGGGTCGAGTTCTACTTCGATGGCGAGCCGCAGACGCTCGGGGATGCGGGGGCGACCAGGTTGTCGGCGAATACGTGGACGGGCCGCACGGAGCCCAAGTTCGGGGCGTATCGTGGGGAGGCGGTTGCCGTCGATACGTATGTGTATCGCGTGCAGATTGGGACGGAGGTGGCGGATATTGCGGAGGCGGCGGGGTTGGGTAGGGGTTCTACGCCGAGTGTAAGTGCTGGTGCTGCGGGAGGTAAGACTGCGAGTGCTGCTGCAACGAGTGCCATCGCTACGGGGTCTTGTTCCTGGGAGGGACATTGTGCAGGTATGTCTGTTTTGCGGTGGAGGGGTTGGTTGGGTATAGCTGACGTGAGTAGGAGCTTCTTGCGCGACGGAGGATGATTGTTCGGATGAGTTGGTTTGTACCGCGGGGAAGTGTGCGTCGTCTTGATTTGATATTCAGGTTGAGATTCTGCGAAGGGTAAGATGTGGAGGATGAACCGGCAATAACAGAGGATTTATATGAGGTAGAGCAAGCAGCAGGAGGCCTTGTTTTAGTGACCAGATTTGTATAATACGGTGAATAATGCGAAAATGATGGGAGGAATTCGTACCTCGATATCACCGTTAGTGAAAACCTCAAGAACCCCCGCGAGGAAAAGGAATGTGTAGGAGCACTTCCAGCTTTGAGGTTATCTACTTGGACTCATCATCGTCGTAAGAAAGAAGCTACAGCCTACTTTGACCTAGGCGCTCCCGCTGCTGTAGAAGAAATGTAGGTATTGTTTGTACACTCCTGCTATAGGAGATACTCAGCTCGCAACCAGTTTCATATATATAAGAAATGCACCGTCTATTTTTGCCATCTACAGTTTCGCCAATACCCCCCTCTCCAACACCGCCAAATGCTCCGGCGTGATATCCGCAATCGTCCGACACCTGCATCCAGTCAGCACACACTCCACCCAGCGTTTCGCGACGAACTCACCCAGCAAGCATCATCGTCCGACAGAACTCATCATAGATAATCCGGATCGCCAAATCCACCCCTTGCTCCCCATTATACTACACACGCAAACGTTAGCACCGCCCCGAATCCCCACTCACGTTACCCCACCCCCCAAAACAAAGTAAAGGAAAAGAAACATACCGCCAACCCCCAAATCGGCACCCTCCCGACAAAACAACAACTCGCTCCCAGCGCCAACGCCTTGAACACATCCGCGCCCCGACGAATCCCCCCGTCCACGGCCAGCGGGATCCGGCCCTTGGCGACGGGGGCACACACGCGCAGCGCATCCAACGTGGCCGGCACCCCGTCCAGCTGCCGCCCGCCGTGGTTGGAGATGAGCACCCCGTCCACGCCATGCTGGATGGCCAGCTCGATGTCGGCGGGCGCGTACACGCCCTTCAGCCAGATGGCGAGGTTGGTGTGCTGCCGTAGCCAGGGGATGGTTTTGGTCCAGTGGATTGTTGCGTCTTTCTTTTGTTAGCACCGGATTGGATTGTGTGGGGGATGGCGGTGGGCTCTGATTAGGGCACGGGGAAGGGAAGGGAAGGGAAAGGCTTACCATATCCCCGCTCATACGTATCCTCCAACCCCATCTCCGCCGCCCCGGCCAGCACAGGAAACTTCAGGTGGGGCGGGAAGTTGAAGTTGTTGCGGGATTCGTTGAGGCGGTTGCCCAGGATGGGGAGGTCGACGCTCACGAACAGGGCTTTGTAGCCTGCCTCTGTTGGTTTTCACTGGTTAGTATCGTTCCACTCTCCGGACTGAGCTCAAAGCGTGGATTGTGTGTGCGCAGCACAGCCAGCACGTCCTCCAAATAATGGCAGAAGGGGCCCAACTCACTCTCCGCCGCCTTGATAATCCTCTCCGTAATACTGATATCCTTGAAGAACGACACCTGCATGATATACGGATTCCCCTTACCCTCACTGGCGGCGATCACCTCCTCGACGCTCGAGGTCGACCACGAGGACAGCGCCATCGGGATGTTATGTGCGGCCGCCGCGCGGGATGTCCCGGTTTCGCCGTCGATGTGGGCGAGTTTGTGGGCTGCGGCTGGGGAGAAGCCGAATGGGAAGGCGATTTTGCTGCCGAATAGGGTGGTGGTTGTGTCGAGGTCGGCGACGTCGCGGAGGACTCGCGGCATGAGTTTGTACCGGCTGTAGGCTTCTTCGTTGTCGCGGAGGCTGTACCTTTTGTTCAGATGGGAGTCAGAGTGTGGGGAGGAGGAAGATAGGCGTACGTGACTAGATCCCCGGCGCCTTCGTTGAAGTAGTCTGTCTCCTTCTGTTAGGCTTGATTGGGGTTGGGGATTGAGGGGCGAGTGGAGTAGGAGCTAACCTCGGACGACCGGGGGCAGGCGTTTTTGCGCCTCGAGCGCCAGGTCGGCGATGGTGAGGACTTTGGTGTCATGGGTTTTGCCGCGGTTGGCCATGTTGACTGCGTCTGTGTGGGAGGGGATGGGGATGGGGGAGATGGGTTGGTGATGATCCTTGCACGAGTTGACAGCTATATACTTCTACTTTCAAGCTGTGTTTCCGACCATCGGTCTATCTACTGCCAGCTTCTCCGCATCAGCCCCCCGCAACGATAAGGCGTTGTCAAGGCAAGTCATCCCGACTCCGCTCATACGGCAAGCCATCCCGGATAAGATAGCCCTAATTGGATTGTCCCGCGATAGCCCACCGGACCGGCTCGCGCATCCAGCATCCAGCATCCATGCATCATCCCTGATATAAGAACCCCGCTTCTACTACACCTTTGGTCTTTGCCACGCAATTATCCTTCCTGTAGTCATCATCATGTCTACCAAGTCTACCCAGTCCATTGTGACGGACCCCGCTGCCTATCACGCCGCCGGGGTCATCTCCAACGGCCCTCTGCTGCACATCTCCGGTCAACCAGGCACCTTAGCTGGCAAGGCCCCCTCCGATGGCGTTTCGCAGATTCATCTGGCCTTGTTGAACCTGCACCGTGTCATCGCCGCGGCCGGTGCGTCGCCGCGTGACATTGTCAGCCTAACCCTCTACGTGGTCAACTACAATGCGGCCAACCGTCTACACCCGAAGCCCCTGCAGACCTTCCTCGCTGGCCATCTTCCTGCCGTGACCGTCGTGCCGGTTCCTGCTTTGGCCGTGCCGGAGTGGAAGTATGAGATCGCTGCAACCGTTGCAGTTCCCTCCCCCGCCGTTCCCCGCTCGCTGCCCTCGCCAACCGATGCCGACGTCGACGTGCTCGTCATCGGCGCAGGTCTCTCCGGTCTGGCAGCAGCCGAGTCGGTCCTCCAATCCGGCCTATCCTGTCTCATCCTGGAGGGCCGTGACCGCGTGGGGGGGAAAACATGGAGTGAGACCCTCCCCAGCGGCACCGGGGTGGTTGACCTGGGCGCCGCCTGGATCAACGACACCAACCAGACCGAAATGATCGCCCTCGCACGACGCGCCGGCGTCGAGCTCATCGAGCAGAACACCACCGGCAATTGCCTGCTGGAACAGGACGACGGCCCTACGGTCCTCTTCCCCTACGGCCAAACCCCATGCGTAAGCTGCAACCCCCCTCGCCTGCGCACTGAACCTACCACTAACAGCCCCAGATCACGCCGCAAATCCAAACCGACCTCGACAACGTGCGCGAAATGTGCGAGGCCGACTGCCAAGCGCTCTCCTGCAGCAACCCCGCCGACCCCGCCCTCGACGCGCTCTCCTTCTACGCCTACCTGCAATCCCGCGACGTCCGCCCGGCCGCGTTAGCGTCTGCCTCCGTCTGGACGCGCGCCATGCTCGGCCAAGAGCCCACGGACATCTCGGCCCTCTACTTCCTGAACTACTGCCGCTCCGGCGGCGGCCTGATCCAGATGCGGTCCGACCGGCGGCACGGGGCGCAGTACCTGCGCGTCCGCGAGGGCACGCAGAGCTTCTCGAAGGCCATGGCCGCCGACCTCCCAGCGAACACCATCCACTTCGGGGAGCGCGTGGACGCCATCCTCCAACAAAGTCCTGGAGCAGGCGGATCAGTCGTCCTCTCTCGAACGGGCCGTGCCATCCGCGCCAAGAAAGTGATCTGCTCCGCCCCGACGCCAGTCCTCCAGACCATCCAATTCACCCCGCCACTCCCGCCCAAAAAGCAGCTGCTGGTCGACTCGTTCCGCTACGGCTACTACACCAAGGTGATGCTGGTGTTCCGGTCGGCGTGGTGGGTCGAGCGCGGCTATTGTGGGCTGGTCCAGTCGTTCAAGGGCCCCGCGTCCATCTACCGGGACACCAGCAGCCCCCGCGATGGCAAGTACGTGCTCACGGCGTTCCTGGCGGGCGAGAGTGGGCGCCAGTGGGCGCGGGAGAAGGACCCGCGGGCCCGGGAGCAGGCGCTGCTGCGCCAGTTGGGCCTGATCTATGATGAGCCTGATCTCCCGGCCAATGAGTTTGTGGAGGCGCGAGGCCATGAGTGGAGCACGGAGGAGTTGTCGGGCTGGGGCTGTCCGTGTCCGGCGCTGCCGCCGGGGGTATTGACGCTGGCGGGTGACGCGTTGCGCGAGCCGGTCGGAAATGTGCATTTCGTGGGGACGGAGACGGCGGCGGAGTGGAAGGGATATATGGAGGGGGCGGTGCGGAGTGGGCGGCGCGGCGCGAGGGAGGTGGTGCAGGGGTTGAATCGGAGTCGACTGTGATGGGAGATGGTGGATTGAGATGGCAATAGACAATTGAAGATGATGAAGAGGTTGTGTTGAGGGAGTCAATGTTGCAAGTAAACAATCCAGGCGGGCGGAGATACGGGGCACGGCCAATCCATAACTCCGGGGCATGAGCATTACATAAGCGAATCTCGCCCCTCGCGTTCATTTGTTGCTTCTTGAACGGCTTCACCCCTTAATCTTAAGCTCATCCCACTACTCATGAAATCATCATGTCACTCCGACTCCGGCGCCTTCTCCCTGCCATTGTCATTGTTGCGATTATCTACACCTTCCACCACTCCTTCAGCTTCTCCGCCTCACCTCCGCCCCTCCCTCTCCATCCCACCCCCTCCGACTGCGCCCTCCCCCCAATCTACAATGACGTGCTGGTCATCCTCAAAACCGGCATCACCGAGGCCCGCACCAAAGTGCCCCCGCACCTGACCACCACCCTGCGCTGCATCCCCAACTACGTGATCTACTCCGACTACGCCGAGCCCCTCTCCTCCACAATCTCCACGCAAGACATCCTGGGCCCGTACATCTCCAGCGCCACGAAATCCACCAACCCGGACTTCGGCCTGTACAACCGCGTCCGCCTCGCCGGCCACAGCGGCCTCACGCCCGCCGACCTGGTCGCAGACGTCAACACGCCGATTGGCAAACCCAACAACCCGGGCTGGAAGCTGGACAAGTGGAAATTCTTGCCGATGGTGGACGCCGCGCTGGCCGCGCGCCCGTCGGCCAAGTGGTTCGTCTTCATGGAGGCCGACACCTACCTCCTCTGGCACAACCTGGCCGCCTGGCTGGCGCGCTTCGACCCCGACCAGCCGTGGTACCTCGGCAACCAGATGCAGATCGTGGACGCGCTGTTCGCGCACGGCGGATCGGGGTTCGTGCTCTCGCGGCCCGCCATGGAGCGCGCCCGCGACCTGCGCGCGCAGAGCGGCGACGGCTGGGAGACGGCCGTTGACGCCCACTGGGCCGGCGACTGTCTGCTGGGCATCCTGCTGGAGAGCTGCGGCGTGTCGCTGACCTGGAGCTGGCCCATGTTGCAGATCGCGCCGCCTTCGGAGGTGGATTTCTTTGCGGTGCGTGCGGATACCCCCGATCGTGTGTGGTGTTATCCTGCGGTGTCGTTTCATCATTTGGAGGGGGAAGGGGATTTGCGGGGTTTGGTGGAGTTGGAGGAAGGGTGGCAGCGCGATGGGTATGCTGGTCGGGTGATGGCTTATCGGGATGTGTTTTGGCGGGTGGTTTGGGGGCAGATCCAGTCTCCGAAAGAAGGGTGGGATAATTTGGTGGGCGATGAGGTCGGGCAGACTGCCACGGTGGATGAGTGTAGGGAGATGTGTGCCCATGAGGCGCTGTGTCTTGGGTATCGGTTTGCGGTCGCGGATGGGAGGTGTCGGTTGGGGAGGGGGATGCAGCTGGGCAAGAAGGCGGACGGGTTTACGTCCGGTTGGATGACGCATCGGGTTCAGGCGGTTGCGGACAGTTTGGGCCGGTGTGAGGCCATCAGTTGGATTGGTTGAGACCGCAGTGCAGGTGCAATTCTTCCATTCGTGGATGAAGCGGGGTATCTCTTGCTCTATGGATGTACGGATATTGTGCTATCCCCCTCCTCCTCCTGTTGCTGCCGCCGCCGCTGCTGCTGCTGCTGCTGCTCCTGCTCCAGGTAATACCCCAGGCTCGACCCCCGAATCACAAACTCCCGCGCCAGCCCCTTGACCTGCAAGTCGACCAGCTGCGCATCGCGATACTCATACCGACCGAGCACGATCTCCCGGCCGGCCGAGAAGTCAAACGTGCGCAGCACATCCACCCGAAACTGCACTTTTGGTTCTGCCGCGCTGTCCGCGGCGAGCTGCACGGCGCCCGTGACACTGTACCGGAACCGATCCAGCGCGAGGAACCAATCCCAGCCTTCCTCGCTGGTGGTGGCGTATTCGTGCCAGAAGCTGCTGAAGAGGACGGTGGGCCGCACGCCCGCGACCAGATCCGCGGCGGCCAGGCGCGCCTTGAAGGTCACCAGCGTTTGCACCTCCTCGTAGAAGCGGGGGAGCGCCGCCAGCAGCTCGTCCGGTGAGATGTCGGCGTCCGTGCCCGTGTTACCCAGGTAGTGTTGCAGGTAGTGGGCGAAGTGCGGCTGCTGCTGCTGCTGTTGCGCGGCGAGGGCGTAGAGCCGGGTTTTGGTGGTGTGGTCGGCTGCGGTGGCCTGCTGGGATTTCCACGGGAATTGGACGGCGTGGTCGGTTAGTGGAGGGTCGTGGGGAGGCGGTGGCAGGCTGATGCCTGTGCTGGCGACCGCGATAGTCTGGAGCAGGAGGGCGAGAAGGAGAGGTATCCGCATGCTGGGTGTGGTGTGTGTGATGGCGTAGCTGGGCAGCTGGAGTATGCGGGGTCGGACAAACGCGCTCAGCGGCAGGAGTAGCTTGACGCAAAGCAAGAAACAAGAGCAATAGAGACAGACAGAAAAGACAGACAACAGAGGGGGGAAGGAAAAGAAAGAAACAGAGCAAAGACCCTCAGACCCTCTTAGCTGGTTAACCTCAACCCTAGTCGGAAACCTCCATCAACCTCAAACGCAAGCAGTGGAGCGCGGGAAACGCAGTGCACCTATCATCAGGCTGGACGGCTGGATCGACAACGGTCACCCCCGGATACAGACATGGATCTTCCGACGATTCGTGATGCAGGGTCAGGGTCATGATCGGGCATCTGGAGGTCCAAAATTGACTGGGAGCTGAGGAGTTGGGGGTGGGCAAACGGTGCTTCCGTCTAATTGATGGTGGTTATGACAAGGTGTATGCAGTGGCAGCTGGCAATTGCCTGGATTTCGGCCTGCAGAAGCTGTGGCAGTCCAGTGGGGCTGCCCAGCCTGGGCTGCTGCAGACCCACCGGGCTGAATCTGGGCCTTGCCCTTTGTCGGCTGGGCCGGTTTGGCGTTTGCTGGGCGTTTGCTGAGCGTTTGCTGCACATTTGCATCCGCTGTATCTTCTGGTTGACAGTGTTCTTTTGACCAAGTCTCCCTATTGACACTATGCTCTTACCTAGTTCTCTATTAACGGGTGTGCTCTCACTTAGTCTCCTATTCACGGCCATGCTCTTTTGCCAGTCTCTCTACTAATCCTGTACTCTCTGACCAGAGTTCCCCTTCACGGCTGTGCCTTTGTCTAGTCACCCTATGATCACTGTACTCTCTAGCCCACTTCCGTGAATGGCACCCATTAGCGGCCGTGCTTTTGACTCTCTGAGCAGGTGGAGTTTTGTTATTCTCACCACTCTCTCTTACTCCCCTCTGCGCTATATATATATATGCCTCCAGCGATATACCTCCGTCCCCATCTTTCTTTCTTTGAACCTTCTTCTTATTCCTCTTCTTGTATATATATGTCTTATTGTACTTTCATTATTCTATCAGTCCGCTGCCACTCAGCATGTTTTCTGTTCTGACCTCTGTACACCTTTCCTTTCATCTCCACCTCAGTTTCACGGGAGTCCATTTCCTACCACGCTACCAGCACTCACAAAGCCCTACCAGGAACCAGCTGAGCACCCCTCACTAGATCTTTGACCCGTCCAGAATCACCCTCAATCCAGAGACCATGTGCTCCGTGAAGGTGAGACTATGACCTCGCCGTGCAGTCGCTCCTTCACTAACTGTGACCGCGCAGAAAGAGTCCGGTTCCCTGCTGGTTTTCACCAGGCCATCCTAGGGCATTTCCGTGAATGGCGACACCCGGCCCTTCGCCGAGTGGAATGCTCGTATTCTCCCGTGAGTTCCTCCTCCTCAGATCAAGCCTTGGACTAACAGATTCTCTGTACACCACATCTAGAAATCATCCTTCTCCTCCCACCCCCACCAGAACACGAGAACCTTTCTGTTGTGTTGTACACTGCGTCTCAGCATGTCTGATTTCGAAGAGGGGGATCGTCGTCCCTCTCCTTGGGACATCTTGGGTATGGTGGCGGGAAGCCCATGCTGGAGTTTTTTTCTGGTAAGATGGTGCAGACTCGTACCATGCCTGCTGATGTTTGCTAACCACGGGGTTCTCAGTGCCGGATGCTTCCAGTCCCTTCCACCCGGCATTCTTGCAGAGTACTTCGGCAAGGCAGAGTACTCGAGACCGGGCTTGGATGTCGTTCCGTTGCTGCTGCAGGGGAGCTCGCTTCCCCCCGATACTGCATACAAGGGCGCACGCAGCAGGGTGTGCGGGGAGAGTCTGTGCCATTGGACTGTGAACAAAACCCCGAGCTTATGTGCGAGCGAGCTGTTTCATGCTCCTCACGGAGCACATGTGCGATGCAACTTGGGTGGTTTCGAGACCATCAGGCGGATCGGTCGCGGTAGTCCTCCCGCCTTGCATTTTCGACCAGAAGCCCAACTTCTCTGGTATCTCGGTCGGATTAAAGACTGGGTCGTGCGATATTTGACTCCGGGTGAGATACAATCCTCCATGTGCCGTTTGTTTGGCGAGAATTCTGGCTGATGCTGATGCATAGTATGAGCTGTCTTACCATTCCATAGTTGAACTGGGAGGCTGCTGGCCAAGCCATCTGCGCTTCAAGGCATGTGCTTATGCCGTGTCGATGGACGTCTTGGCCGGCTGAGAGGACCAAGATCCATCCAGGATGAGCGGATGGTTGAGTCCGGTCGGTGGTCGAGCTTGAGACACACATGGAGGGTTTACAGTAAGTACATCATCGATCCCCGAATTGTGCCCGCCACAGTGCGGAGGGGCCTGTTGAACAAACTCACCGACGCTGCTGTGACCGATAGTTCGATGCTTGAACCGCTTTAATCTAGCTGTTGAGCATAGATGCACCGCCCTTCACCGCCCTCTGGGTTCTTCGCTTGCAGCGACCGACTGGGGGCCAGCCTTCTCACAATCAGTCTGAGTCCTCAACCGTGGTTGAAATGCTGGAACATCTCCACGCACTACGCACCACCTCCGGAAGTCGAACCTCTCCGACGTCTAAGCAATCTTCGAATCAAATAATCGGTACTGCTTTTCGAGCTCCTTGATCGCTCATACCCTGCTTCAACATGTCGTCTACCACTACCACCACCAAAATGGAGTCTACACCTGACGTCTGGGTGTATACCCATGTACACAATCATCGACACATCATCATCGTGTCAGACGGCACGGATGATGAGATGCAGCCCCTTCCCTCTACGGCCTATGCCGCGCGGGCTGTGTCGTGCAGTACTATTGTGAGTGAGGAGCCTGAGGAAAACCGTAATCAGGCCAGGCCGATCCCCGGAAATCGCGCGATGTGTCGGACTGCACGCACATTGCGAACACGAAACACCTCAGTGTCCCCGCCTCGTTCCAGACGTTGTATTACGACCCTATCGACCAGCCCATTTAACATGGAGTCCTACCCGAGGGAAGGGGAAGGTCCTCCGGAGTCTGTGGTGGATCGTACCACGCATTTGCCACAAACCGCAACCCAGCGCCAGGTCGTTACCGAACGTGGTGGAAACACATGTTCTAGCCACCGGACCAAGCCATGTCAGATTGATATTGGGACAAAGCTGCACAGGCTTTCCCTCAACCACTTTGTCTGATTTTTTATCAGTGGGTTCACTGAGCCTGCGAAGCCGGGCGAGGCTGCGGTGGCTGCTGATGTCAGTGCACCTGCGGGACTCTGGGAGTCTTGACACAGGACACTGTAGACGGTCGTGCATAACACACCGGCCCTGCCGACCGATTGCCCTTTCGAGTACAACTCTTCATGCACCGGGCAAGGGCAGATACCACCCCCGACAGGCCGGACACCTCATGGCCGCTGGGACCTGCTTTGCTTCCCACCTGTGGGGAACATGGTGATCCTGACACAAGGTACGTGTATTGGTAGCAGCAGTTGCATTTCCTGGGGCATTGGCGGGCTAACACTGGGCCTTCCAATAGCACGGTCGTGGATATCCGGCTGCGGGAAGGCAGAGCCAGACGGCATTACTTGGCTACTGAGCGCCCTTGGGACTCCGCGCGTCGACTACCCGGTCACCGCGGAGGAAAGAGTCCCCCTCGCGAGGCAATATCGCTGCTTCAGATGCCATTGCTCCGGGCGATGTCCTGGGGTTTCTGTCGCTCCATCAGGGCGGCGGCAACAGCCCTGTGAACGGATTCACGGTCGAGATTCTGGAGGATTTGCCTGTGCGCCTTGAGGACGAGATGGAGGGCTTGGTGAAGGAGTAGTCCTTCGTCGCTGTCATGATACCAAGACTTATCCATTTCGCGCACACCTGTTCACATGTCCTGTGGTTCATGACGGGCAAGGGCCCCAGCCCTCCTCGATAATGTCGAGGACCGGGCCGTCAAAAGGTAAGGATTCTACCCTTTCCAGCGCTTCAGAAGCCTTAACTCCTCGAGATAACTAACGCATGAAGTTTGCTTACAGTATCGTCTCATTCCTACACCACTGCGTCTATTCAACGTCTCGATACGACGCGCTTCGCGACCCGAGAAGAACCGAATCAAGCGGGTCATGACACCCAAACACCGAACCACGACGAGGTCGAACTGCCGCGTAACACTACGCGAGTTTCTCGCACCTGATTTCAGTTTCGCGCCAGACTTGATCCGCTAGATTCAGCGATGGTATTGTGCTTGCTTGCGCCCAGTTTCGCGTCAAACGTGACGGCAGCTACACCAGCAGATTCCGTTTCCGACGCGATCGAGATGAGCACGTTCCACACGACTCACGAGCCCGGCACCGCCGCTGCGATGACTGGCGCAGCCACAATGTCGGGGTTGCCGAGCGAAGAGCGAAGGGCATGCTTAACGCTCGCAGGCGAAAACAGCCAAATTCCCAGGCCCAGGGTTATCGGCTACGGAGCACTGGAGGTATGTCAAGGCCATGGGGTCTAGTCGGTTTTGGTGCTAGGTACGCCCATGAGAGGGTTGGCCCCGGGAAAGAGGAAGCATACCTCGAGAGCCTGGAATTTGATCTCAGTCTGCAGAGTGGGTATTCCAGGTCTTATCACCCCGAGACCGACGGCCAAAGCGCGGACACCATCCAGCACCTGGAGAACTACACCCGGGCGCTTACCGAGTACATGTATGGCCCTGTCTCCAGTGATGCGCCAGATGACCGCGGAAACCTTCCGCTGGTGACGCCCAGACCTGTCTTTCAAGCAACGCCCGGTTTCCGATTCATCCTCGTCGCATGTTCCACGGATATGAGTCCAAACGACTGGCTACCGTGGGCTGGACGGACGCTCTACCTAGACGACTCCGACGACGAGCCAGCCCGAAGCCCGCGAGCCTTTCCTCATGGCTGTGCATTTTCGAGGTCTCTCTGCGTAGCAGTCCCACCTTCTTGGGTGTCTCATTAGCAGGC